AAGCTTAGAAATTTTGTAGTTATTTCTGCAAATTAATTTTTTTCCATAAACATAGCAGTGTCAGCTTTTTTTCCTAATTTCAAGCAGACCTCCAACAGAGTGCTCCTCTTAATTCATTTGCCAGCAAAATCTGGATGCTACAATGCTGAAAAAACGTCAACCACAGAATGAAGCTCATATGAATAACCGGCTTGTTTTTACCTTCGCAGGTGTCGTCTCCCTCTGACATGAGCTCATCATCTGAACAGATGTTCAACACGTTGACCAGCATCTCCGTTACTGAGAGCACACAAGAAAGAATTATACATAATGTCATAATGTCCTTCCACCTTCCTTCCACCAACTGTTTTGTCTAAACATTCTATTGAGAATCAAAAACTATTTTTTACCAGCCAATGCACTTCAAAATTAATGTAAACAAATCTTCCTGTTTGTTATTTACCTTTCTCCCCAACGAAGGGCAATGACCATGTGAAGACATCCATGAAGTTGGGCAGCCAGTATGGATGAGGAGAGCAATTGAACTGCCGGATGTTCATCACGTTGTTCTCGTATTTCAACACAGCAGCTTGATGGATCAAACCAGAGAATGTGTCAGAAACCCTTTTCTGATTGTCCAAGACTGAAGGTCCTAATATACTCACAGCAAAACTCAGTTTCGATCGTCACTTATGGGTTAAAAAGAAGTTCAAAATATATGAGGAGAGGTATACTGATAGCAAACATCCAGATCGACATTTAGATATAGCAACGCATAATGTTCTGCCGGCCTTATCGTTTTAGCCAATACTTAAATTGATTTTAGAAGGGTTTTGTATGGCGTCTTCTAAGGCTGCAAGATATTGGGAAAATATGCGATTACTGTATTTCTTTTCCCTGGAGTAAATCTTCTGTATTACACTGCCTAACAAAAGTCTTATTGCCTATATAAGTTTTAGGAACAACAAATAATAACTTGACTTCTATTTGATCGTTTGGTATCAGAACTGGCTAGTAAGAAAGGACAAAGGCTTTTAGATTATGCTTATTTTACCAAAAATAAAATATGATCATGCCTTGATTTTTTTTTTAGGATTTAATTAGGACAGTAAGGTCTGACTTTGCTTAGACAAAGATTTTGTCACTTAACAGGAATAATGTACAGTATAGAATATAAAGTCATGCGGCAATAGAAAAAGAATTATTATTGTGTTCAACTCCCATAATAAATAACTCCATTAATAAAGTCATCTGGAATGAAAGAAAGCATTCTTGCAGGACTCTCAGAGCTCATCAAGATTCTTTGGATTCATCTTTAATGCCTCCTCCTTCATCTTGCTCAATGTTCATGTCTGGTGAAGAATTTGCCTTCTCCTGTGGTTTATAATGTAAAGAGCAACACACATGTCGTAATTCCTCAGGCTGTTGATGTTGCCATCCACTCTGCAGATCTCTTGCACACCCCATACTGAATGTAACCCCAAACCATGATTTTTTCCTTCACCCAACTTGACTGATTTTTGTGAGAAAATCATGCGGGTTCCAATAGGATGTTCCAACAGTATTTATGATCATTGGGAAGCAGTTCAACAGATAATTCATTGAAAAATATACCGTCTGCCACTTTTACAAATGATCAACTATTTATTTTTTGTTGCTCTTACCACAGGGATTGACAACAACACTTTTGTCAGGTAGTGTACTTTTTTTTTTAGATTTTATATTACATTTATATTACATTATACAATATTTATATTACTTTTTACATTTAAAATATGTTAAAACTATTTATATGTTTATATGTCTAAAACTACTATATGTTTAAACTATTTTAAAATGTATATATTAAAATATAATGATCTTACTAAAAGACAATGCTTTCTGACTTAAATCTACTTCAGTTTTTTTTTTTTTTTTTTTTTTAAATGTCAAAGTGCAAATATTCAGACTTTAAAACACTATAAATGAGTGAAAACCTCAGCAGATATTCTGATTCTGGCTGTTGTCATTTTCCTCTCATCTCATCTCATCTTTCATTTTTAATTATTTTCTGCTCCAGCTTCACCTTTGGGTCACTAGCAGAACAGCACCTACTGGGGATGGGAAGGTGGGTATAAAAATGCACCTGATAAGTCAAATCTGGATAAACAAACTATGCATTCATCAAACAAAGTGAATTTGTCAGTTGAAATAAATTGAATTTCTCTGCGTTAAGCATATCATGCATATAAATAATCAGTAACTTTTCTATATCAGTAACGATATCAGTAACTTTTCTATTTTTTGTGCAGCTTTAGTGTCCTCAAGGTAATGCAACTGCATAAAGCAGACATTTGATAATAAGCACTTATTGAAAAAAAGCAAGCAGATCTGGTTGTTTCCTTGCTAGTTAAGGATTTAAATTAATAACCAGCTATCCACTGTTCACATTTATTCATTTGTAATCAGGTATTTTTTAAAAAGCATGTCAAGTTATGGATTCATCAACTTGGTTATCAGCTATTGGTTATCAGCTTCCAAATATAAGAGTTATCGGTTATCTGTATTGGCCAAAATTTACATATCGGTGCAGCCTTACTTATTTACATAGCACTTTATAGCTGACAATTCAATTGCACATTGAGCTGCTTTTAACATAGCAGAGAAAACGATTCAAAGAAGAACTCCAAGACCTACATTTACATATTACATAACTGCTACTGACAAATGGTAGCTCTTGTCTGTTGATTTATTGTAAACTTCTAGAATATGTAGTCCTCATTTAGAATTTCAAGTTACATTTGTTCCTCATTATGCGATCGTAAATTACCTTACCATATACAAACCTACATGATTATTAGGTGTATTAATTACACATAATCAAATTGTGGTGCAGGACGGCACCAGCTCAAACGCTTTAAGAGCTCTTACCTTTATTGTTATACACGTCTAAGTAGTTTGGTGCAGAGAAGATTGTGATTAATGAGGGGAAGCCTGTCGTCTGACTTTTTCTGTACATTCGATACCTAAAGGGGTCAGTGAAATGGGACAGCAATTGTCAGTGAGTGCTCGTCCAAATAAGCCAAGAAATCGAAGCGTGGTGTGCAGTGAACTCACCCTGCATCTTGGGCTTCATGTGCTCTTATAACTGACAACAAGTTATTATTCGTCAGAAAGTCACATACTGCAGGGTAACTGTTAAGAGGAGGGGGGAGAGAGAGAGAGAGAGAGAGAGAGAGAGAGAGAGAAAGAGAGAGAGAGAGAGAGAAGGAGAGAGAGGGAAAGAGAGAGAGGTGTAATTAGGAACTCCAGCAGTCCATCAGTCAAAATGGCATGACTAACATTGAGAGGTGCGACTGTGAATGTGGACTGAGTAGGCAGCGATCAAACAAACGCGCATGTGGGCAGACTGCCAGCTGGAGTACCTGTAGAAATAGGAACATCCTCTCACGCTGTTGTGACAAAAGTGCTCGGAGGTCTTTTCGCTGCCGTAGTCCTCGCCAGGGTCAGACCACAGCAAGTCGCACATCGGGCCGAAAGCTGGCGGCTCTTTAAACCTGTCTAACTGCAGAACAGCAGAGCAATGCAAACAGTCAGACCAAAGAACTCAATGTTTCTGTTCTAACTTATTCATCAGTTCAACAATACAAACGCCATCAGTTTACATTTGCTTAGATTTTTAAAGATTTCAAATTTGATCTATCCATTCATCAAAAAACATATTAAGAGTATACATTACAAAGGTGAATAACATATACATATTATAAATAATAACAGTATTAATACTTGTTTAAAAAATTGTAAACAGACTAGGACTGGAAGATTAAAAGTAATCAAAATTGATATTCAGAATTTAAAAATAAAATAATTTTTCCAGGACGATTTTGTCAATTACATTCCCTAACGATTGTGGTGTCATGTGACGCCGCTCTGTTAAGGCTGATTTATACTTCTGCGTTGAATGGACAGGTATAGTGCTACTCAGCCTTCGCAAGGTCACACACACCTCTTAAAAAAATTAACTACACGTCGCAACGACTGGTAGCGCAAGCTCTGTGATTGTTCAGCTTGGTATCGGTGACAAGCGTGTGCGGTGCTCAAGTCCCGTAGAGCAGCTCCAGTTGGAAACTAAGTTGTTGCACATCATCTGGTTCCCGCCTCTGAATTAGATGCTTTTAGCTTCTTATACATTCAAGGTAACATTCAGAAAAAACAAAAGCAGCAAAGAAACAGAGGAGCATAAAAACCCACAAAACAAACAGCACGTAGAAGTATAAATGCCCGGCTACGTGCAAGACAGGCAGTATGGGTTACGACGGATTACTCGACACAGAAGTATGAAGCAGCTTTTAAAGGTTCTGCAGGTACACTTTGCAGCCACATCTGATCTCGGGTCAAGTAGGACAAAGGACCCATTCTTGAGCCTTACTTTGCTGTACATTGACGATGATTGTAAGCTGCGCCAGAGATGCCTTGAGACTGTTTATTTTCCATTACATTAAAATGATTATTTACATTAAAATATCGTTCTCAGAAGATGGAAGTAATGCACCGTTTAAAATATTGTTTACAGGACATGCAAGAGTTATTTTATTTAGAAGAGATATTGCTTTTTTTCTACTTTTAATATGAAAAACTATAAAAATTATTTATTGTTTTCTTTTTTATAATAACACAGTCACTGTTGGTTTAAGGCAATGTGTGCTTTAATTTCAGTTGTTCAACATTGATGTTCAATAAATAATCATAGATAGTAGGTAGTGTGCCATTCCTTCAATTATAAGTAATGAACCGTTCATTCAGAAATCTCTCACTTATATTATCTGAGCATATTTACTTTACAAAACCTGTCAGTGAATCATGAAGGCAAAAAAAACAAAATAAATAAAATAATGGTTCATTAAATCCTAATCGAGTTTAAATGTTCAATAAATCGAGATTTTTTTTAGTCCAAATCGCGCAGCCCTAAAATAGACCATCTTTTTTATTATACGATAAACATAGATTGCATTAACAATACATTAACATAAACTAAATAGATAAATTAAATTATATTTTATTTCAATTTAGCATTTACTACACTGCAAAACCCCAAAAGTTAGGGTAGCTCAAACTTTGAGGAAAACCGATTGCAACAAACCATTTAAGTTCAAAAACTAATCCCAATGAGTACTGTGAACTTACTCCATTTGAGTAAATGAAGCAATTTGAGCACAGTAAAACCCAATAAATGAAGAGAACTTAAACCAGCTGTGTATGGTAAAACTAATAATAACTCAAACTGTTTAAGGAAACCAATTGCTACAAACCATTGCAGTTAAAAAACTTATCTATACGAGTACTGTTCACTTACTCTAAGTTGAAGTAATGAGGTATTTAATAAACTCATTACCTTCAACACAGTACAAAACTCTTTTCAAATAAGTAGAATTAACTTTCAGTCAGGCGATTAGGTGCAGCGGCAGCAGTAATGCGGTCGATGTAACAGTCCGTTGTGGTGAAGAAGGAGCTGAGCCGAAAGGCAAAGCTCTCGATTTGCTGGTCAATCTACGTTCCTACTCTTAATATGGTCATGAGCTTTGGGTCATGACCGAAAGAATAAGATCTCGGATACAAGCAGCAGAAATGAGTTTCCTTCATAGGGTGGCAGGGCGCACCCTTATTGAAAGGGTGAGAAGCTCGGTCACCCAGGAGGAGCTCGGAGTAGAGCTGCTGCTCCTCCACATCGAGAGAAGTCTGCAGAGGTGGCTCAGGCATGTTTCGGATGCCTCCAGGATGCCCACCTAGGGAGGTGTTCCAGGCATGTCGCATCGGGAAGAGGCCTTGGGGAAGACACTTTACATGCTGGAGAGACTATGCCTCTCTGCTGGCCTGGGAACGCCTCGGGATCCCCACGGAGGACCTGGAAGAAGTGTCTGGGGAGAGGGAAGTCTGGGGTTCTCTCCTAAGACTGCTGCCCCCGCGATCCGGATAAGCGGATGAAAATGATGATGATGAACTTTCAGTCAATTTTGAGTTAACTTCACTAATTTCATTTGATAAAGTCGACTGTTGGGTATTACAGTGTAGAAATAATAATATTATATTAAATTGTCTTTAATTATGCTACAAATAAAAATAAAGTATTTGAATAAAATACATTTCAATTATTTATTTATTTATTGAATTAACAATATTGCTCAGTTACTATTAATAGATTTAGAGTAGAAATAAGTAGAAATAAGATGAATCTTAAGTTTAAAATATTAAAAACTGAACTTTTCTATATCTTAGAATAACAAAAATAATAAGAATCTAAATATTTTTAACAATAATTAAAGTAATAATTTAAAATAATCGGTAGTGCTCAGACAACAAACAGCAAGGCAAAATCGAGTTCATCTAAACTCCATGTCTTTTTTTTAACTTGAATATTCTTAGCAAGGCTTAAAACAGATCAGTTTAAAGATGCAACCTCTCACAAGAATGCTTGAGCACGTTGACAGCTCGCTGTGGTTTAACAGCACAACTCCCTGAGAAGCTGCATATATAAAATCATCCCCTTCAAAAGAACCATCACAACAGCACTCAAAACACTATCTTAAAAAAAGTAACAAACTCCCTGCCATCCAATACGGTTGAACACAACAACAACAACAGCACAAATAAAAATAATGCCAAATAAAAAATGTAAAAAAAACAACTTACTTTCCGGATGTCGTCGAGGCAGGTGACCTCAGGAGAAAGACCTCCGTGAACGCAGAGGAACTGCTGGTTGAGCAGAGCGGCCAGAGGAAGGCAGTCGAAGGCCTCCATGCAGGCATCATACACCCGCTCCGTGTACTTAATCTTGCCTGCGATGAGAGAAGCATAATAAAAAAAAAACACCCATGCATCTCTGAACACTTGCTAAAGGAGCGAATGAGCTTTTCAAGCCAAGGCTGTCACGCTGGTCCTTTTGACATATCACAGTAATGCTGGGTGGGTGAGGGCAGAACAGGGGGCTTGCCAACTTTCCAAGGAATAGATGGAGGAGGAGGATGTCGCATGCCTTGTTAGGTGATGTTGCAAGCAGACGCGTGTGCTAATTGGGATGAAGTGAGGAAAGGAGCGCAGCGGGAGGCTGATTAAAAGGAGGCCAGAGACCGGTTACACGTGGAACACGGGGCCCGCATACCACCGTTAAATCCTGACATTTTAGAATGGGCCAGCCGCGCCGCATATTGTAAACAGCAGCACTGACAGATGAGAAACAGGCCGCCTCGTGATGAGCAAAAGAACAACACTGCGATGAAGCAGCACATCCTTATCAAAGGCTCTTTGATTAGCTGGATTGGATGAACAGCCAGCCTCCATTTAGGCTGAATGAACACATTAAGAGCCAAGATTTCTGCTGATGCTGACGGGAATGCCATTGGATCTTGATTGACTAAAATAGGGGAGCTTTTAATGCAGGCCACTGATCCATTTGACGTTACAAATCAAAACGTTTTTGTATTAGTTGGTAGAAGACTTTGTCTGAATTGTTCTTTTGTTCCGTTATTATGTTGGCGCCAATTAATTTAGAGTTTCGCAGTGGTGTCACTACTAATTTGCTAAACTGATTTGTGATGCAATTTCTGCTGTGTATGTAAACGTTAAAGAATATAACAGAATGATACTATGGTTCACATTTAATCTTCAAGTTACACTGACTAATTAGCAACTTGATCCACCACAGCACCAAAGAATAGAGTGAATGCATAAATGCCTGTCATCAGTGCATTGTAAAACCCAAGAGTCAACTTTATCAACTAAAATGAGTGTTGTTAACCCAAAATTGGCTGAAAGTTAATTCTACTCATTTGAAAAAGAGTTGAGCTCAGTGTTGAAGGTAATGAGTTAATTAAATATCTCATTACTTCAACTTTAATGTAGTAAGTTCATAGTACTTGTATAGATTAGTTTAACTCAAATGGTTTGTAGCAATTGGTTTCTTCAAACGGTTTGAGTTGCCTTTTTGAGGTTTACAGTACTCAGTTGGTTTGAGTTCTTTTCATTTATTGGGTTTTATTGTGCTCAGATTGCTTTCTTTATCGAAATGGATTAAGTTCACAGTTCTCATTAGGATTAGTTTTTGAACTTAAATAGTTTGTTGAAATCGGTTTCCTCAAATGCTTTGAGTTACCTTAACTTATTGGGTTTTACAGTGTAGTAAATGCTTAATTACATGAGTTGCTTTCATGATCCCGTTTTACATGTTATAGCACTTTATTCGATTAACGTCTTTGCGTCACCACACCATCTGCATTTCCTCCAGAGATTCATGTAATTTCGGGTGTTTTGTTGACTTTAACTGCAGTTTTGCACTTTCACTTTCATTCAGAAACATTTAATGCATGCCTCACATGACAAACAAGATATTGGATGAGATTATGACCAGCTGGAAGAGTGTTGTTTTAATAGAATTAAGACACTGCATAGGAAAATCTGTGATGCGGGTGTCTGTGGTGGTTTAATGATAGGTGGAGAGAATAGTGTCAAACAGTCGTGTGTACAGACTATCCTGTCGCAAAATGCAGCAAAAATCCTACACAATGGTAATAGTATGATTAAGGGGTTCACATGTCTGGACTGCACTTCAGTCAATGGATTATGCAGACTAAAATTTGCATAATCCACATGCCGTATTTCGATTTCTGTTCTAATGTGAACAATGAACTTAAAACTAATGTATGAATTTTGCCATCATTGATATACATCTGTAAATAAAACCCAAATGGCTGTCGGAGTTTAAGAAACAAATTTAGGCTCAGTCAGCACAGCGACTACTGATTGCTAGTGCTGGAGCAGTGTATGAATGAAGCAAGCAAGTTTTTGTCTAACATCCCCCAATGCTTGCCATGGCCACATCCTGTCACCAATGGTCACTGTAAGTCTAGTTGCCGGAAGTCACCAGCTCTCCATTAAAATGAATGGGATTGTGCTGCATGTTGCTGGTGGTGTGAATGAGGCTTTACTAACTAATCCAGATAACCCAGCCATTATTAACAGCACTGCGAGATCCAGTGCTGGATTAGCTGGATTGGAAAAACAGCCAACCTCGATTTTAGTCTGAATAAACGCATTTCCAACCAGGATCTGCTGATGCAAACAGAAATGTCATTGGACAATGGGTGGATTCTGATTGGCTAAATTAAAGAGTTCTTGATGCAGACCACTGATACATTTGACATTACAATTTCGTATGAATTGAAGCTTAAAATTTAATTATTTAGTAGAACTAAAACTTATGGCTGCAGACTGTGATTAAATGGCTGTTTTTGTGTAAGTATGTGTGTGTTTGTTTCCATGTTGGTAGCAATTAATTTTGAGGTTGCACTGGTGCTGCTACCAATTTGCCTACCAGATAAGGGTTGCCATGTCCTTATGCATATGAAAAACATTAAATGGCAGGGCAAATATAACCGCTGTACTCATTTAAAACACAAGTCACACTGTGCGATCAAAAAAAAAAAAAAAACAGCACGCGCACAGAGCAAATGTGTTTTACATACAAATTCACATAACATAACTCTTGTAACATTTAATAAGTATTTTGAAAAGAACATACTGAAGGAAAATACTGATTATTATATTCAGTTTTCTCAGTGCATTTAACATCTAATGCTATCATTTTACTAATTTTAAGACTATCTGCTCTGATTAAAGATCGTTTATGGCTTTTTAAAGGAGCTCTTATAGAAGACAATGAAAAAAAAAAAAACATGTCTATATTTATCAATACATTTTTATACTATGTACTAAATGTCATCGGGCTAATATTTTTATAAATACCAGCCATAAAGTAACTTTTATTTAAGTTGTTAAGTGAATTAATAGAAAAATTACATTATGTTTTGCATACTTCTAGCGTTTTTATAAATTAACAATCTGTCAAATTTACATCTTTATCCTTAAACTCAACATATTGCCACTGTCCATTCAAGCTGTGATATTTATTTCTAAAAGACAAGACATGTAATTTTGATACTACATGTCCGAGATACAAGTGCCACAGCTTTGAAAAATAATTTAATAAAAGCTATTCAAATGTTATATGAAGCCTTGCAAAACAAATTGTTTTACTTAAAACATTTTGTTCATTTTGATTTTAAGTAATAATAGTAATAATAATTATAATAATTAGGGTTGTCCAGATCCAATCACATAAACGGAAATTGGGCCTGATCACGTGGTTTCACACTCAATCGGTATCGGACGTTACATCCCAAATAGGACTCGAATGCATGTATGTATGTATATAAATATTTAAAAACATTTGATTGACCTCTTTCTTGACAGACAGACAGACAGAAACAGCAACATGTGCGGCATGACATCCCTTTGTTGCAAAGACGCTATTGGTTAAATGCTGGCAAAGTAGAACACAGAAGCAGCTTGAAGTGGAAAGCATGCGTTTGTCTGCGGTCTGGAGTATTATAAAGTTGATGACGACAACACTGACATAGTAAACTGTGTGAAATGTAAATTTGGGATTGCCTGCCGTGTGTTTTAAGTTGAGGTGCTACTTGTTTTATATTATATTTCTTGTTGCACTAAAGTCTAAAAAAGTGAAGAATTTTTTATGTATTATAGAAGTATTGAATCGGGTTTCAATATTGGCAGATACTCAAAATCAAATGACTCAGACTCGAGGGCAAAAAAAAACTTGATTGGGACATCCCTAGTAATAAAAATAATAATAAAAATAATAATAATACAACTTTACCAGTGAAAATGTTAACACTGCAAAAATGAGCTTAAAACAAAGGACTTTGAAAAACTCCACAGCAGCAGCTTGAAGCATAATTATTTGCCAAATATTTATCGAACGCATTAAACAAGGGATTATTAAAACTGCATAAATGGCAGGTGTTACAATTTTGCACAGAATCTGTGTGGGTCTGCTTATGATCATCAGCTGCTAGAGGAAAGCAGACAGCCGTTCCTGTGTGAAGGCTTCAGTTAGCTGTCAGCGTTTGTCATGACAGGGATGATGGCTGATGTAAATCTAAGTGGGGAGTGAAGAGCCCTGACGAGCGCCGAGGGATGTGATTGAGCTCTGAGCCTGTGGCCCGTCATCCAATACTCTCCTGACACCATCCCTCTCGGGATGCCACCATGGTAATGGGGAAAAAATTGCCGTGACAGGCTTGAATGATAGGATGTGGTAAAATCTCATTTCGTTCTCTTGATAACGTTTACAGACACACACAAGTTATGAGTCGAAAAAGAGTTGAGCTTACATTCTTGTTTAAAGGTGAAGTACTCCGTAAGATGCCGACACTCGTGGTTGCCTCTGAGGAGGAAGAGGGTGGTCGGGTGGTTGATCTTCAGAGCCCACAGATAGAGCACACACTGCAGAAGCAAAAACAAAAAGCACATTAACAAAAACCTAGCAACAACTATATCTGCTACTGTTACACTGGTGCTTTCAATACCTATGCTTTTGTATGTGTACTTATATTAAAGTATTTTTAGTATGAAAATACAGGTCACTGAAAATTTAAAACTAATATTTCGCAGTACGCCAAGATGTGCCAAACATGAAATCCTGCAGACTAGGGATGGGAGCTATGGAATTAAATATATACAATTAGATTTTTTGTTATTTGGTGTGATAACAGTATTATCGACAATATACATTTGAAGTTAGAATTATTAGCTATCCTGAATTATTAGACCCCTTGTATATTTTCCCCAATTTCTGTTTAATGGATTTTTTAAACACATTTCTAAACATAATAGTTTTAATAACTCATTTCTAATATCTGATTTATTTTATCTTTGTTATGATGACATTGCATAATATTTTACAAGAATTTATTTTTTGGGGGGGTTGGGCTGGGTGATAAAATCGGTATCTTTATTAATTGACCAGACACTATTATCAGTAACGATAAAATAAAGTTTGGTAAGAAGGGTATATAGTTTTATTCAAATGTAATAACATGGGAGTGACGTGACGCATGCACAATTGCCAGTTACACCTAGTTGAAAAAAATCTGAACTTTTCAGAATGCCACAAACATTATTTATTAAACTTTATAGTCTCTTATGTTTATCATATTACAAAGAGATTAGATATTTTGTTTAAATATTTTTGCATTTGACTATTAAAACCCTTTGCCTTAGTAATATTGGTAAACTAAATTAGTGCTTAAATAAAGAAAAATCCTAATATTCATAAATGAATTGTTAAAAAAAAAAAACATTCAATAATTATCAATACCGAATTATATGAAATCTGATACCTATGGAGTCAATATAAGTTCATATATACTTGCAAAATAAAAGTTTTTGCAAACAAAAAATAGAGTATTGAGCAATAAAATAAATGCAAATCTACAAAAGCCGCAAAACGAAAATTTGAGAAATAGAAATTAATTAATTTTGCTAACAAAAATAAAGAACTGCAAACGAAAAGCGGTGTAATAAATAACTAAAATATTTGCAAAAAAAAAAAAAAAACGATATTTGCTAAACATTTTTATAGCATTGGCTTTACATTTTTTTTTTTATTGCAGTTCTTTTTTTGGTTAGCAAATTTCATTTTTATTTTTCAAAACTTAATTTTCTCTTTGTTGATCTTCATTTTTGATAGCAAAATGTTTTTTTTTCTTTTTCACAAAAATAAATTTGCGCTTTGCGGTTTTGGGAGATTTGCATTTATTAATTTATTTTTTGCTCAATACTTTCTTCTTTTGTTTTCAAAACATTCTTTTATTTTGCAAGTATTTATGGCCCTTGATTGACTACATATCGTGATATATTTTTTGCAATATTGCCCAGCCCTATGTTTAAGATACTATTATTCAGCTTAAAGTAACAATTAAAGGCTTAACTAGGTTAATTAGGCAAGTCACTGTATGTTGATGGTTTGTTCTGTTGACAATAAAAAAAATAATTTAAAATTTAAAATTGTTTCAAAAATTAAATAAAAACTGCTTTTATTCTAGCCGAAGTAAAACAAAGACTTTTTTGTACAAGAAAAATTATTATATTAGGAAATACTGTGAAAAATTCTTAGCTTTGTTAAACATTACATGGGAACTAATTAAGAAAAAAGGGCTGATAAATTTCACTTCAACAGTATTCACCTTATTCTCCGCCGTCGAGCGGGCGCTGCCATTTGAATCTTTTTGTCTAGCGACTTCCGTTCACATTCACTTCCATTTATTTTTTGACGTTAAAAACTGCTCGTTACTCTGCTTGATGCTGCAATTTGATATTTTCTTATTATATTACTGTACTTGGTCTGTATAGTCATGCAAACATGTGTTTGTAGAGCAAGTAGTTTGACCATTTTCTGCTGTTTATTATTCCTAGTCATTTCTTCCATAGGCGACTGAATCGGAAGTTCGAAGACAAATTGCAAAACCAGGTGCACTTTCGCATTTTAGAATAAGGTCAATATAGTGCAGAGATCTTCAAACTGCTCCTGGTCTACAATCCAACAGAGCTCAACTATAATTAAACATACTGAAGCAGCTGAATTAAGCTTTTCAGGATCATATTAAATACATGCAGATGCGCTAAACCAGGTTTGATAAGCACTAGGACAGTAGGTCACCATGAGAAGTTTAAGACCTCTGAAATAGTGTTGTGATAACACGTTGATGTTTTTTTCGGTTTCATTCATGCTGGATGCTAGAGGGCAAAGAGGATCAAGATGATAGAAGCCTAATGAAATGGATCAAATTTAAACACAAAGAAAAGCTTGTGACAATATCTGGATTTCTTCCTCATTCTGTGAAATGAAACCACGTCTGGTCACAAAAAGGAGTAATGTAAAATACTGGACTGGTGTTATGGAGTGAATATAAACTAAACTACTGCTACTGTATGAAGCCATTGCACAGACCATTTGCAGGTTTGATTCGCATAACTAGAAGTGTTTTTTAACAAGCAAAATTTTATTTTTAAACCATTAAAAATCACAACAGTCATGAATCATATTACCCCGTCAATATGGACCATGAAATAAAGAGACTGATATTAATATATGTTCCATCATGATCAAATACATACTGACACAATAATGGTGAACAATCATTAGCGTTCTCAAACTAATACGCTGGAAGGCCACGGCACAGCAGGTTTAATGTTTAAGAGGATTATCCCTCCATTACTCCTGATATTTTATTAAAAAGGAATAGATCATTCAAAAATGAAACACATTTGATCATAGAAGTGCACTAGCATACAGGGTGTGCAAAAATTCTCAATGCATAGTTTACCCAAATGTTCTTATTTGTCACTTTGGTTAGTGCCCAGCATTTAAGCCCGAGCCCGTTGGGGACTGACTTTATGCCCCTAGGGCCAGGCTTCAGGACAATTTTCACGTCATAGCTAGCACGCATATCAGGCTTTGGACCTGCTTTAAAAATGTTTTTTTTTCTTAAATAAAAAATTAAACGTAATAAAATATTTGATGCATTCGAATGCATGTGGTCCAGAAGTGCTAGTGATGCTATGTGCATAGAGAATTCAAGCCACATGCAATGGAGAACATTAAGCAGGGTATATGCAGGAATCCTAAAGGTAATTTAAATAATTTTCTGAGGTCTTAAAGTCTTAAAGCTAAGACCTCATTACCATTTTAAGTTCTAATTAGTATTAAACCTTTAACTTACTAAACAGTTGTTAATAAAGAGTTGTAGCTAAATCAATGTAGCACAGCCATGCAACAGAACTCAGATAAGCTCGGAAGAAACAAAGCTTAAAAGAATAAATTACACGGTTGTTTTCAGCGAAAGGCTTTTGCCATTGTTTAAACTCGTCTTTCCCCAACAAGGAGTACGCAAACTTACATTTTCCCATTTTGCTGTCTGTTTCGCTTTACGCTTTAGCAACATGTGGAGAGCATCACATCACCTTCCCACGTTTGTCGCAAATAACGTGATATCACCCAGACAGAGGAGCTTGGCCAGAAGTGCCCCAGCCTGAACCAACCGTGTGGATCAAGCACGCCATTGTTAATATTAGGAGGAAAATAAATATATTTATGCTTTGTTAGAGTCAAACACTGCGTACAACGCTTGAACAAAATTTAAGACCTCGTAAAAATGCAATTAAGACTTTAATAACTTATAAGAGCCTTAATTTTCTCATAACTGATTTATCAACTTTTAAAACTTTTAAAGACCCCGCAGACACCCTGTAAAGAGAAAAATTGACACTGGCAAACTTAAACAGTGAAAGAAACTCTAGAGGAAAGGCAAACTTCTGGTCAACTTTTCAAATAGTGACAATTTTAAATTAGGAGCCAACTGGTTATGCACAATGCACAACTTGTAAATTGAGTAAACTTACTATGGACCACATACCGTTTGAATCTAGATGTCACTTAAAAAAAGGAAAAAAAAAATCCAAACATTGCGCTAAATTATTTTGATTTTAAAAAAAGGAAAAAAAAAATTCTATTAAATACCAATCTGGTCTATTTTAATGGCTGTAACAGTATAAGCGGAAAAAAGAGAATCTTCGGATCAAACATTTTGATAAGCTGTTAGACAAGAGCAGGGCTACAGCCTGTGCGTCCCTGGTTAAAGCTTAGATTTAAGGCCTGTGCAGGACTCAAGCTTTGGTTAGTATACTGCATCCAAAGTGTAATGGGTTGAATTGGGCTGTGTTCAGACCTGGAAGCTTTGGTTGGACAAAAATGAATTCTGGTAAAATTGCTCTGTTAATGCAGTTATTGCTATGCACAAGGGGCCATTCACACAGAAGATGCTTTTCCATTCCAATGCGCTACTTTTCCATTTTGCTTGACATTTTTGAAATGCTGTGTCAAGTTGAAAGAATTTCAACTTTTACACACAGCACCGCTCAATGTCATTCCCTAAGCAGTGGACAAAGAGGAACTCAAAGGCGGAGCAAGAATCGCAAGCTTCTGTTTACCGTAGCAAGTTGGCATGACGACTGTTTTACTTGATAACAACATAGCAAGCACTTTAAAAACAAAATCACAAAAAAAAAAAAAAAAACATCCTGTGCGCAGCATCTTATCTTTTTAAACACAAAGCAGCGTTCTGTAAATGGTTTCTCAGACTGCTAAAAAGATTTGCCTCTGTCTGCTGCAGTAGACCGAAATATGAACAACACACATCATAGGCATCTAAACAAACCAAAAACAAGATGTTTACAGATTAAAAAAAACAAAGAATGATGCTTAAAAATACCTGGAATTTGTCATTGTTGAAATGCTGCCCAATTTGATTTGATGCATTAGAAACTTGTCCAATCTCTAACTTTTAAACAGTAGGATTCCTTTTAAAAGTGCATACAGCAATTAATATGTCATTACATCATTGCAAACACAACCACAAAGTAGAACGACTACCACGGCGTAGAAC